CTCTGCTCCGGGGGTCTGAGCTTGCCGACCCACAATGCACAGGGCCCTCCAGGCGCCTGCACACTCCCGGCCCCCACGATGACCACCCACTCCCTCCCAGAGTCCACCTGGCCCCGGCTGCTCACAGCACTGGCTCCTCGGGGGCTGGCTGCCCAGTGTCCCTGGGGTCCCTCTGGACCTAGCAAAGCCTGGACCAGTCTCTGGGCCTCAGTTTCCGAGTCTGCAAACATAGCCTTCCCCTCCCTTTTAAGTCATCCACGAACATGGAGACACGGTGGGCTCTGGGGGCCCGGGGCCCCCACCCTCCTGCGCGGAGCCACCGTGAGCCGGGGAGACCTGGCTGTGGGGCCCAAGAAGTCACTTGGCCTCTTTTCTTCAGGACGCTTCTCGGCCGAATCAGGCTGCAGCGTCCAGACTGTCCACGCTCCCTAACTCTCCATAGAGCTTTGGGGACAGAACTGGGACACCGTGGGGCAGTGGACTCCGGGACTCGGGGTGCCCCTCACCTGGATGGCCTGCACCAGCCGGTTGCTGAGCTCCAGGGCAGCGGAGGCCGTGGACGAACCGAAGGAGGCAGCCCCCCGCTGCAGCCCCCGCATGAGACGCCCGTCCTTCCGGTACTGCTCGATGGGCAGCCACAGCAGGTCCCGGAAGCCTTGGACTGGGGGCAGGGGGGCTGTCAGAGACACTGGAGGCTGCCCTGCCCCACCCACCCTGCGGGAGGACCGCCTTGCCTCTCAGCGGCAGCTTCTCGGCCGCTGTGGGGCGACAGCAGTCCCAAGAGCGCCCAGGCCCGGACACTCACAGAGCTGGACGACCGAGTGCATGGGGCCCACGCCGCCCAGCAGTCCCGGCAGCTGGTTCTTGCGGATGTCCTGCAGCCACTCGTTGAGAGCATAGCCCAGCACCTTGTCCACACCCAGGAGCCTGGAGGGGGGTGAGGGAGGGAGCCACACTTGGGGCTGGGAGGACCGAGTGCCCCCGTGGGCACCCTCCTCGCCCTGGGGTCACATTCAGTCGGGTGCAGAGGGACGACCAGGCCCCTTTTACAGGGGAGAAACTGAGACCCTGCGCAAGACGATGGCTTGGCCGCGCCACACAACCCTCGGGAACAGAGCAAAGGGAAGACGGGCACGCTGGGGGGTGCTGGGGCTCACCCGTGCCGGCAGCAGAGCCGCTTAAGCTTGAGCTCGGAGCAGTTGAGCTGGGCCAGGCCGATGAGGAGGCCCGCGAAAGTGCCCTGGGGAAGGAGGGGTCTGGGTTTACAGGATGGCCCTGACGTGCTGCTGCCACGGGAGCCGCCAGACTCCGACTTGGCCACCGACGGTGCCTGCAGGCAAGACCTGGCCGCCGAGAGTAGCTCCCGTGGCCACCCCGCCTGACCCCCACTTACCACCTGGTCCATGGTGACGTGCTTGCCGTGGTAATCCAGCCAGATGGGCACCTCGGACGTGAAGCGGAACTCCCTGGGCGGGGAGCAGGGAGGGGTTCTCTGATCACTGACCTGGCCCCCAGCTTCTGGCCCAGGCCCCCAGCCTGCAGCCCTACCTGAAGTAGATGGGCTGCTGATCGGCCGAGGTGGCGCCGTGTCCACCTGTGGCCTCCTGCGAGCCAGTGCTCTCTGTGCCCTCGGGCCGACCTTCCTGGGGGCTGCCGGGCTGGACTCGCAGCGTCTCCGGGTGAGCTAGGGGAGGGGAAGGCCCCGGCCGGGGACGATGGGGACGATGGGGACGACGGAGACAACGGGGCTGGGGAGGGCTGGGAGCTTGGGCTGCGCGGGGAGACAGGAGGCCCCGACCCTCCCCTCCGTGACTCAGCCTCTCACCGTCACCGGGGGTCTCCCCTGGGACCATGGGGTTGATGCCAGCCGCCAGGCTGGTGAAGAAGTCCTTCAGAAAGAAGAGGGCGTCCTGCCGGGGAGAGTTCCGGGCGCAGATCAGACTCAGAGGCCCGAGACAGTGGGGTCCCCTGGGCGCTGCCCTCCCTGGCCCGCTTACCTGGTCCACATTGAGCCGCAGGGGCATCAGTGAGACGCGGAGACAGCACTCAGGCCCGCCCAGGTCGGTGGTGGGGGCCACATGCAGCGCCTTGATGGTGAGCTGGGGGCAGAGGGCAGGCTCTGGGTGCCCGCTGGCCTCGGGGCCCTGCTCCCTGCCCGCCCCCCGGCCGCCCCACCGCCCTGCATGCCGTCCCCTCTGCGAAGACCGCTCCAGCTCCGCCTCCTCCCAGGCTCACAGGCAACCTGTAGGTGCGTGCGTGTGACGATGTGTCCCGAGGGCCCCGTGCCCTGCCCGGGGTGGACGGCGGGGGCCGCACGCACCATGTTGGAGTGGGCACGCCGCGGCATCCGCTCGCTCGTGTGGAGGTACAGGAACTTGTTGATCTGGGAGGAGGCGAGCCGGTCCCGGACCTCGAGCTCCTGCACGATGAACACCTGGCGGGACAGCGGCCGCTCCTCCAGCTCCTGGCTGGGGGCCACAAGCCCCGGGGCTGGCTCCGCTGGGTACACCTCGTGCTGGAAGCTCACCTGGTGGTGGACGCAGGCCTGAGCCGGGTACTCGGGGCCCCAGGAGGGAGGGAAGGGCTGGCCCCAGCCCCCTTCTCGCCCGTCGACCCTTCCTGAACCCAGCTCAGCCCCACACCTGGCTGCCGCCTCCACGCCTCCACGGGCCGACCTGCTGAACTCCTGACCTCGTTCCCGGAATCCAGCTGCCCCTTCCTCAGGGTCTTGGCCTTGTCTAAGTGGTGCCCACCTGCCCTGTCACCTGCAGCGCCAGCCTCGGCTGCACCCTCGATCTCCAAGACCCCCAAAACATCTCCCAACCCCTGCACATGTCCCGCATCCCCACGGCGGCCACCAACTCTCACTCTGGTTGGCCACACCCCGTCCTCTCCCACCCGCCTCCACACACCACAGGGCCATTCCTCGGCCTCGCAGGGACCCACCCGGACCTGGCTCTCCTTCGGGCCTGGGCCCCCGCCTCATCTGCGTGGGCAACCTTCCTCTGTCCATGCAGCCACCGGCCCCATCAGCCCCCAGCTGCTGCGCTGAAGCTCTTCTCGCCTGGACTGTCCCAGCATAGCCGTCGCTCCCAACAGCCTGGTGTGCTCCTGTCATTTGCCTCAGCATCCCCTCAGGAAGCCCAGCCCCGGCCTGGGTCTCTCCTCTCCCTGCGCAATTTCTCAGGCCCGATCCCCTGCGCCTCTCTCTGTGTCCATGCCTGTCCAGTTCTCAGCCAGACCCTGATTCCCACCAGTCAGTCTCTCCTGAACCTGCCCAGGCTCACCCTGCTTGGCCCCCTGTGGCAGCATCTCCTCAAACCCACCAGGAGGGCTCCATCGCCGGCCACGCCTGCCTCTCACTGCTCCTGGAAACATCAGGATGCTTCCAGCAGCAGCTTTCGTTTTCTTTTTTTTTTTTTTGAGTTGGAGCCTCACTCCACTGCCCAGACTGGAGTGCAGTGGCATGCTCACGTCCACTGCAGCCTTGACCTGCTGGGCTCAGGCAATCCTTGCCCTCAGCCTTCCAAGTAGCTGGAAGTACAGGCACGTGCCACCACACCTGACTTATTTTTTTTTTTTTGAGTTGGAGTCTCACTCCGTTGCCCAGACTGGAGTGCGGGGGCCGTTCCCAGCCACCGCAGCCTCGCCCTGCTGGGCTCCCGTGA